CAGTAGTGTATTTTGCTCATCATTCTACAACTGGAGCAAAACTCAGCATGTATTCTAAACAGCATCAACCTGAGCCATCTGACTGAGTGTTCTAGGATCCAGTTACACAGTCACTAACTCATATTACTGTTAAGTGGGTTCACATATCAGTTTTGAACGTAGCGGAAGATCAAGCGTTCCTTTCCATGCAGCCCTTTCTCTGTCATCTGAGCATAGCTACAGCACGGTGTCTGGGACAAGGAATGTGTCTCAAGAAACCTAGCCACAGTCTCAGATTCACATATAATTACTTTCCCTTAGTATTGGGGGCAGCTGCCAAGGCCAGGTCTAGTTCAGGTTGAGACCTCGCTTCTTTATGTCAAATTAGAAAAGGTCTGCAGTATCATATGGGAAAATAAGCAATGTGTGTATAGTATATATGTGTTTGTATATATTTTAAAAAGACACTGTGCCACATAAAGAGAGAAGACAATTAGATACATATATATGGTCCTGATGGTTACCATTTGAAATATGCATTACACTTTGAGCATCTTGCATAGGAAAATGACAATGCTAAGATACTAAAGGTATTCACCGATAAAACATGTTTACAGTGAAGAAGTGAGTGGAGAGACAAGAAGTTTTTGGTGTCTCAGTTTAAAAAGAACAAAGGAAAAGAACCCTTAGTTAGGGGCACTGACAAATATTCAGAGAGAAAAAACAAAGACTGTGTATTAAGAAAACAATGTAAGAAAGGACTTGAGAGCCGTGTTCCAAGGTGTCAAACACTGCAGAGGATTCCGACAAAAATGGAAGCTAGAATGTAAGATTCAGCATATAGTTGGACAGTAGCAAAACTGATGGTCCGTGATCAAAGGCACAGTGCCAGTTGAGTTGAAAAGAGTAAGCATAGAAGTCTTTCATTAGTGATGGTGAAAGAGCTGAAAGGTCTAAGAAGCATGGCATCAAGAATATCCTTGACCCAGGATGAAATGATCAAGAATTTAATTTGATTGATAGCACTGAGAAGAGTCCGATAGAGCTGAAAAAAATGTACGTGCAAGAGAAAGAGAAGAGCAGTAGACGGAGCTGTGGTGTATGTTCTCCTTGTGGCCACCCTGTAGTAGTTCTGCAAAATTCAGCACGTCGCTCTGATTTACATCCCACAACTTGAGTGACTTGGGTAAGACTAGCATTTGACTGTATGCAATATGGAGCTATAAATGATCATAGATCATGAAATAATTTGGTCTACTTTGGCATCTGGAATGTGACATCTGGTATGAAGCTGGGTGACTAGCAGATGAGAAGACATATTTAATTAGTGCACACCATCAGGTAAAAGACGAATGGATTATTGCCATGTGTTGATATTTTGTGTTTATTTACATAATTCATGATCCAAGTGATCTCATTAGTGGAGCAGAATATAGAATATGCACTTAAAGTTGATTGAGTTATTTCATGGAAAGTCTTATCCTGATTACTGTTTGTATCCCAGAATACATATTACTGTTTGTATCCCAGAATACATATCAACCCAATACTTGTATCATTGCAAGGGCTCTACTCATAGTGGTTAAGTGCTCGGCTTTTAACCAAAAGGTCAGTGGTTCACTAAGGGGAAAGACATAGCAGTCAGAGTTCAAGGTAAAGATTATAGCCTTGAAAATGCTGTGGGGCAGTTATATTCTGTGCTATAGGGTCTCTATGAGTCAGAATCAACTTGACAACCTTGGACTTGGTTTGGGTTTTTAATATCATTATATCTGTTCACTGACTAAGCATTACTTCTTATTTGTTTCAGTTAGCAACATTATTTGAGAATGGTATTTTAGTTTGCTTAGTATTTTAGTTCATTTCCTTTTAATGTATGCTGAGTTAGTTAATTGTGCCAGCCTGGCCGATAATCACATGTGGGGCTGGTTGAAAGGCGGAGGGATAAATGGGTGGTGAGCTTCGCCTTTCTAGCTCTCGGATCTCTTGTTTTGTGATGGTTGCATCGGGTGCAGCTGCCTTAGCAGTTCCCTGCTTCAGCTTGCAAGATTGACTTCCTACAACACATCCCCAAGGAGAAGCTACATGGACCTATCCCGATGCAGTCCTGGGTGCTGGAGCAGCCATGTGGAGACCCCTGCTAGTGCTGAGATGCTTATTCGTTCACTGACTCAGCTTTCCTCCTGCAGTCGGCATCATTGCCTCTGTTTTGTGAGGTGGAGGACTTTGTGGACTGGTGTTGGGTTAATGTTGGACTTGTGGGCTTGGGCAGCATTGGGTGGGGATGTTTTCGTGATGCACCTTTTCTTTACATGAAACTCTCTCTTATACATGAGTTGCTGTGGATTTGTTTCTCCAAAGTACCTAGACTAATACATATGCTAAGTGCATTAGTATTTGGAATCATTTACTCATTAATTTATGTATGTCTTTATATTGTTCAGACATTCCATTGTTTGAATCATTGTTTATATTCAGAACAACCTTTCAATTTAAGAATTCAAGTGAAGCTAAATAATATTATTATATATAAATATAATTATATTTTACAGTTTTCACCTGTTACATTAAATGAAATATTAACATTGAGCTTCTGGTTGACAGTCTATTTTGCACACAAGAAATCCAATCATTCTCACAGGCCAAGTCTATGATCAAGATAAAATAAAGGAAAGCAACAAGAAATTCAAAGAATTAATAATTTTAAAAAATATTTTTACTCAAATGAAAATAAGATATGAGTGACAGGGTTATGTCCAGAAGCAAAGTTATTAGTTGAGACTAATAGTTCAAAATCGATATGTAAGAATAGGAGCAAAATGGCAGGCTCTGAAAAAGAAAATATTTATAATGATGCAAATGAATAGAGGCAGGTAGAATATGATTAAAAATCAGAAAATGTTATGTTCATGCAGATCCAATGGAATAAATCAAATGCCAGAATATTGGAAAGTCTTGATTAATTGACAATAGAACAAGCAGATAGCGGGGGAAAGCTTCAAAAGGGGTAGTTGTTTGGGAACTTTTTTCAGTAGTGTAATGCTTTGTTGCACATGACATTTCATATGAACAGAAGTTCAATATTTGAAGTGAATAAAAGCAGAAGTGCTATGGAGATATGTTGGTGTCTCGGAGTGCTGAGAGAGCAAGGCAGCCTTTTCTACTTTCAGTTGTCCCTCTAAAATGTGTCTGCAAATCTGTATGAGTCCTAGTAAATTGTCTGAGTTCATTAGGTTTTAAAAAACGGTTTGGAAAATCGTATGGTTGTAGAGTCTGTAAAGAGAAACCAGTCAAGTGTTGACTCGAGGCCTGATTAATAGCATGACTTACATAAGACTTGCAAATCCTGTTTGCCTACGTTTTCGTGAATGAATATTAAAATTTTATATGGACTTTCAGCAGCAAAATGGAAAATCAGAGTGTTAGATTAAGTTCTAAAGTTCTTCGTCTTTTTTTTTTCCGGTAGACCAAAATGAAAAGTGATAGAATGAGGTTATTTACCTGGTAAAGATTGAGAATGTGCCTCGCTTTCCCTGTAGTCTTTACTTGTCTTACATTCCTGACATATGAAAAATTCAAGATTTTTTTTATTTCAGACTGGACTTTGATAAAAACAACAGCTTTAGAATATGCTCTTAGTTTTAGGATCGAATATAATAGATACTAATCTTTATTATCTAATAGTACCTTTTTCTTCTTCTTTTTTTCCAGTCTGTTCCCAGTATTCTAGAGGAGTTTTTGCCATTTTTGGACTCTATGATAAGAGGTCTGTGCACACCTTGACCTCCTTCTGCAGCGCCTTACACATCTCCCTCATCACACCCAGTTTCCCCACCGAGGGGGAGAGTCAGTTTGTGCTGCAGTTAAGACCTTCCTTGCGAGGGGCTCTCCTGAGTCTTCTGGATCACTACGAATGGAACTGCTTTGTCTTCCTGTACGACACGGACAGGGGTAAGTTCCCATTGCACGTCAATCCCATCAAACGCTAGTTCCCACTCTGAAGTTGTTTGATTTAGCAAACACGTTCATTCCTAATATGACTAAAGTATTCAATGTGTGTTAGAAAAGTGTTATAAAATTTCTCTTGGAGAAGTTTTCTCGTTAAATAAGTTTTACATGTATAGGTTTGCTATAAAACAAAACATGTTCTGTGCCTTCGTTAAAATGAAAGCAACTTATTTTATGCTGATCAGTGATGATGCTTGAGTAATAGTCACAAAATAAATCAATTGCTTTACCCCAGAGGCAAATGACTCAATAAGTTGGGGCATTTTAAAATAATGTCAGGTTGAGGCATAATAATGTGTGTGAAAAATACAACTTTAAGTGAGTCATTGAGAGGTCATGGAAATGACAGTAGAGATTGGGTGGTGTGAGTTGTGTTGCCAGCATTTTACTTTACTTATCAGGCCATATATATTAATGAGTTATCTCATAAGTCTATATTAGAGAGCTTTGAATTCTACACTTTTTTTGTAGAATTTGCAATAGATGGATATCTCATTTTGAGGCTTTTAACTAAAAGCATTCCCAGGAATTTTTCTTCAATTATATTTTGATTTAGTGACTAGAATTTAACAATATAGTAAATATCAGAAGGAGCAAAACAGGACCACTTGTGGGATGTTGTCTTCAGTAATTTTACTTAATATGTAAGAGTTTTAAGGACACAGGAAATTAAACTTTGAAAAAGGCATCATTTTAAGAACAACCTTGAATTCTCTATGAAATGAGTAAGGATGAAAAATATGCTCTTTTCTCTCATAAAAACAAAAAAAAATCAAAGTACGTCTTTTGCAGATGTAATCAACCCTCAAAAATCCAAGGTATAATTTCCTGTGCTCAAGGAAGAAAATCTATTAAAGGGACACACTGTTCTCATTAAAATGCACATAGTTAGATGAGAACAATATAACTTATAATACAACCTCAGACCAATAGTGGTTCTAGATCGTCTTTTACAATGGTAGTCTTGGTAAATTATATTTTCAAAGACAAGATCAACAAATTTATGACCATCAGACTCTATTCTGCATGGTTGTAGCATACTCTAATCCTTATTTGGAAATTTGGGGATTTATAGTTTAATAATTTTCCATTAGTAGCCCAAAGCATTCCAGGAGGGCACTTCTGTGGAAAAAAACAAAAAGACGAGAAAGAAAGAAAAAAAGCTTTACTATGTCCACTTCTAGGTATTGGATAAATCCATAGGCAAGAGGCCATGGAAAATTGACTCAGAATGTCAAGAAACATATACTGGTGTGTGGGTGAGGTAATTGTCCTTGTGATTATTGGACCTAGTTCAGGTATCCACTTTGGGGAGAATAAAGACAAGCAGCTTGGCCTCCCAGAAACACCAATTGTTCCGGTGTTTCTGCTCCCTGTGTCTCCACGAAACCAACACCCATCGAGGAGAACCATGTAGACGTCAGTCACTCATCCCCTAAGGAGGAAATAGAAACGGTGGTTGGCTTCTCTCCACATTGTAGTTTCCGGGACTCTTACTCCTGTATAGCAAGTCAAATGTTCCAACCTTGAGCTAGTCACCATTATTTATCGCCGTGAGCACTTTTTATAAGCAAGTACTCCTGGTAATTTACAGACTCCTCCACTGGCTTAGCTTTGTTATTGTTCGTTGTGATGTAAGCATTATTTCTTCTAATACTGGATCTTACCATCTTTGAATCTTTATTGACTATCTTGCAGCCTGTGCTTACTCTCTCTTTTGAAATCTGCCTTATACATTTGAGTAACTCTCAAAACAACAACAGCCAAAACCCTCACTGTCCTCAAATCAATGATGACTCATAGGAGCCCCCGTCAGTTTCTGAGACTGTAACTGTATTGGGGATCGCAAGTTCAGGTTTCCCCAGCAGCATTGCTGGTGGTTTAGGACGGCCAACCATGCAGATTGCAGCCCAACGCACACAGGGGCTCAAGCAGAAAACAAATGCTTTGAAAATGATGATGGCAACATATGTACAAATGTGCTTGACACAATGGATGTACATGTGGATTGTGATAAGAGCTGTAAAAGCCCCCAGTAAAATGATTAAAAAACAAAAACCACCAGGGATCCTCAACTTCCTCAATCAATGGATGCAATTCACTGATTCATATTCCTATCTTTAGTAGTTGCTCGGGCACATTCGCTAGTCCTTTGTGTTATCTTCTATTTTACTAAGCCTGTCCAACTTCAAATGGGCACCTTTGTCCTGAAGGTTAATGGTGTGAATGGAAAGTAGTCTGTAAGGAGAATGGCCATTTCTGAATGCCCTGTTGGCCTACCCTTTAAGCCGTGATACCATCATGCTTCCCTATATTTTGGGTCCTAATCAATCTCTCACAAATAACAGTAATTTGTCATCCCTCTGAAATGGAATATGATTCTCAGATACATCACAAATCCTTTTTTTTTTCCTTTTATCATTTCATTGGAGGTGCTTACAGCTCTTATAACAATCCATACATCAATTGTATAAATCACTTTTATACATAAGTTGCCTTCATCATTTTCAAAGCATTTTCTTTCTACTTGAGCCCTTGGTATCAGCACCTCTGTTTTCCCTCCCTCACCAATCTCCCTCCCTCACGAACCCTTGATAAATTAGAAACTACCATTTTTTCCATATCTTATATCATCCGCTGTCTCCTTTCACCCAAGTTTCTATTGTTCATTACCCTGGGGGTAGGGGTGGGCTTATATATTGGTCACTGCGATCAGTTCCCCCTTTCTCCCTCTTCTCCCCACACCTTCCCCCTACCCTCATGGTATCACTACTCCCTTACTGTTCCTGAATGATTTATCTGTCCTGGATTCCATGTCTCATAGGCTCTTATCTATACCAATGTACATGCTCTGGTCTAGCCAAATTTTTAAGGTAGAACAGGGTCATGATAGTGGGGGTGGGGTGAGAAGTATTAAAGAACTAGAGGGATGTTGTGTGTTTTGTTGGTGCTATACTGCACCCTGACTGGCTCATTCCTTCTTTGTGAGGGGATGTCCAATTGTCTACAGATGGGCCTTGGTTCTCCATTCCAATCCTCCTCATTCACATGGATACAATTGTTTGGGGTGTTCTGATATCTTATACCTAATTCTATCAACACCTCGTGATCAAACAGGCTACTGTGCTTCTTCCATGTGGGCTTTGTTGCTTCCCTGCTAGATGGCCGCTTGTTTAACTTCAAGCTTTTAAGACCCCAGACATCTAATAGCTAGTTACCATCATCTCTCTTCACCACATACACACCCATTTTGTCTTCAGCCATCGTGTTGGGAGGTGAGCATCACAGAATACTGGGTTATTAGAACAAAGAGTTCTTACGTTGATGGAGGACTTGAATAGAGGCCCAATGTCTGTCTGCTATACCAATACTTAACATATAAATATATGTACATAGACCTATATCTCTATCATTATATATGACTATATTTACATATATACATCCCTATAGTTATACCTCTATAGGGGTCTTTTGCCTCCTTTTTTGTTCTACTTCCTTTTCCTTTTCCGCCTGTCCCACCATCATGTTCGACCTTCATTCGACTCTCCATGATTCCTCTCGACTACATTGCACTTGATCACACCCCACCAACCTCCTCATCATTGATTTTAGATCTTTGTTGTTCCCTTGTCCCTGGACCTGTTAGCTCCCCTCTCCTTTTCCCCCTGTCTTCCCCTCTTTCATGTCCTCCCAGAACCATTGGTCTCATTGTTTTCTCCTCGGGATTGTTTATCCAGCTATCTTATATAGGTAGACATAGAGAAAAAAAGAGAGAGAAAAGATTTTTAAAAACTATAAATAGTTCCGGGCCTGTCTGCTGACCCTTATGAATGTTTTCTGATTGGGTCTGATGAAATGTGAAGCCCGCCCTGTGAGTCAGAAGTCTATTTTCGGGATTACTCAGAAACTCTGTTGCTCTGTTCCCCGTACTGCTCTGTGGCGCTCCCTTCATGTTGTGCCCGGGTGTGGGGGTGTCAGACTGGACAAAGTTTCCACACTGCGTGCTGTCCCCCATATTGCTGTGGGTCAGTGAGGGG